GCAAGCACTAGGACTGTATGTTGGTTTATTGGCTGCACAGTAACTTGGATCAGGCATTCCTCTGATCTACCAACAACCTCTTGCCCCATTGATCCGGTTCTTGACGGGGATTATCAACAAGGTAGGCAAGTTGGGCGGAATACGAATGCCTTGTAGAACAGGCGAGTGGTTCGTAGACATCACCAGGTATCGTATCCCTGTCCGCCAGCGACTTTCGGTAGCGGGGGGATAAGGTGCTAACTGCCGACCCCCCCCCCCTGACTGACTGATTGACTGACTGACTGATTGACTGACTGACTGACTTCAGCTCGTGGGTGTATGGAAATTTGATACTGGGCAATGAGAGGGTGTTTATGAATTGATAGCTCGAACTAACTGCTGCGGTGGCGGGGATGAACTGGCGGTTGGCGCCCCGGCCCGCTCCTCATTGTTTCTCACCAGCTAGGATATAATCTCTCGTTCGGACACTAACGGGGAGGCTTAATGATGACTGGTGTGGTGGTTTGGTCTGACCATTGGCAGAAAACGGGAAGGTGTCCTTCATCGCATGCGGGGGTGAGAAAGAGAGTTTCCGAACTAGCGACGATAATCAGGAGTCCGTATCCTGAGAAACCTAAATAAATGAGTGATACAAGTAGCACATCTCAGAGCGCAGGGTTAACCTGTGGCTCGCGGGGGTCGGCGATTCCGTAGCTGAGCTTTCGTAATATATTTATGTGCTGAGCTCGTTTTGTGAGGAAAGGACGGTTCGAGTAGCGTTGGGAATCGACGACAAGGATGAAAGGGTCGCTAAGCCTGTATCATCTTCACCGGCCGGGAATGGGAGATGCTTGAATGGGTTGATGGTGGAATGCTCAGCACGGGAGCTCAGGAAATTGTGCTAAAGTGCAGGTGAATGCGGGGATCGGGATATCGATCCCGGACGTCAGTTGGTGGTTTAGGCGATGATGGCCATCACTACAGCGAACCCCTAAATACCCCTCTCACAAGGCGGTTAGCACGTACTAATCCGGAAGGGCCAATTTGCGCCTAACTCGAGTCGGCCAACCCATCATCAATTAGTGTTCGCCGACGCACCAAATCCAACCTCATACCCTTACTAGGCATTCCTGATTGGCCGAGTTTCTGCATGTTTTCCGCTCATCGATTCGACGCAGCTGTAGTTTCAGGATAGATATTGGTGTGGTGGGTGGGTGGTTGGGGTGCCTTGGGCTTCAGTTGTGCACATTGTAACCACAAGGCTACTACTACTGGTCCCATTGAATGTTCATAGGGAAAATTATCCTCCACAGTGCTAAGAGCCTAGTAACACAATAGCCGATATTTGAATTACCGATCAACTCTAGATAGATGCGCTACCTGCCTTCATTGGATCGCTAATCTGCTGCCAGACCTAGGTGCAGCGTTCGAGATAGGCTGCTATCATCACCAGCGTTATTCACAATCCGTCTTCACTTTTGTTGAGTAATAATTTGTGTTGAGCGTTCCACCGTGGGGCTAGACTCTGAGTGAACAGTCTCAAAGCGGAAAACATGCGCAGCAGTCTATTGGTTTTTTGGGGGGGTTGGGCGGAGTCCTCAGACACCCTGGCGTCCGTCACGAGCATATACTTTGACACGGTCTGGCTCGCATAGCAATAGCGGTCTAGCCGGAACTTTGACAGCATGCATCAATCGGGAGCGCGGGGGCGGTGCCGAGCGTTTCCTCCGTGCAGAACAATATCGATTTAAACCCGGGTGATAGTGCATGATGGATAGTAGTTGGTGCAGTAGAGGGGATGAGGGAGTCATGTGGCTACTTTAGCTGGAGTGGTTATCGAATTGTCGTGTGTGATACTTCCTGACTCTTTCATTGATCTACCGAAAGGCCTCATGATGCGAATCGTGTATCGGTTCTTATCTCCTGGGGGTGGGACTTGCTCGACTTGGGTATCTCCTTGGGACTCATGCCTTACGACTAGCCCCTCTAATTAGTGGGTTTACACCTTTCGTCCCGCGCTGGTCAGCAGAATATGCATCGTCAGGGCCAGTGATATCTAGCAAATCCCAAGAAATTTCGTAAATAGGGAGCCGGTTCTTGAGGTAAATTAGGGATCTATAGATTGTCACTTGAGAGACCAGTGACTATAATAGAAATTTAACCCACCCAGCTAGTAATGTAATGTGGGGGATTCAGTGGCTATACCGCTGCTGAGCGATGCTAGGGGCGGGGAGAAAACTTCAAGGCATCTACTAATGGCCCGCTCCATGTATGTTTTGAATCCGCTTTCTTATGAAACCATCATATCAGAGCCTGCCAGCGCATTGATTTATGCAGAGAGTTTCAATGATTGCCCCTCGAAGGTGAATTTTCCACATCGTATTTCTTGTAGAGCATCAATATGCTCACATTCCTACTATCAAGCGTTTCACCCCTCGGGGTTTTTGGCGCAAGGGATTCTCTATGAACACCTCTATACCACAAAACAAACCAGAGGTACACACGTCTTCCCTTCTTTAAAACAAGGAGTGCTCCGGATACCCACTTTTGGCCCCCCGCGGGCATAAAAATTCTGAAAATTTTGCCACCCATAACCAAACGCTGTAAAGCTCTACCACAAGTGTGTTCTCCACTGCTTGCCCAGCCGATATGAGGGAATATGCAAGCGGGATGGAGGAAGGAAGTAACGAGGAAGGGGGGAGAAGCGAAGGATACGAGGGAGAGCTAGAGGATGAATGTATGGAGAATGGGCAAAAGATGCATCACTTCTGTATGCCCATGGGAGAAGGAATACCTGGCAGGCGAGCAAGCCCTCGCTACAATGTGTGGCATTAGCTAGCTTCATAGCTCCCAGGCCCCATAAGCTTAATTATACATAATAGTGATAATAATAATAATAATACTCAGCCGATATGATTTTCATAGCTGCTTTAGAAGCTATTCACCGGATATCACTCGTAGCCTTAGTTAGTCTGCATTTCAAGGATTGAGCTTGGAGTCTCATTTTTCCGTACCAGCTCTGTCGGGTCACGGATTAGGGAGTATCGCTCTTGGCCCGCAGTGTTCTGTATAAATCGCAAGCGGCCCATAGTGCGTTCTGACATCGTGGTGGATTGGGGTCGTGGTTTCCCTGTTTGTTTAGACCCGCGATGTAACCTGTTCACTGGGCATAATACCAACTAAACCTATTCTTTCTCTTGGCTCAAAAGTGGATGATGCCCCCCCGCCTTTGAGAAGTTGAGCGCTGCCAAGTGGGCCCATACAACGTCCCAGTAAAGAAGATAGCGAAATTATCGCAGATGTTTCGAGAACTGCCCTGGTGTCACACATTATCACTCGCAGTAGCCTATCGTTTGAAAGGTAAGTTTACGGTAAAGTACCATTTCGATGCCGTATGTAACGTACGGTAGCATACGGTAAATTTGCCGGGGGTTGTGGGCCGCCACCCACGAAAAAGCTTGGGTGTTGGCATTCACGCGACTTTGCTAGGAACTTCTGATGCGATCATGAGGGAAGGAAAACGGGACTATTCGGCACTAAAGTTTAATGTAGGAAGCGTCGCCCTCTGGTATTTTATCTCCCTAGTGTGATTTACCGTAATTTACTGTACGCCATCAATTGTGTACATCGCGGTAACGTACCGTATTATTCGAACACTACTTACGTGAAAGGGCGGTCCTGGAGTCCGTCTTCGCCAGCCCTCTTTCATACCAGATTCGTCTAGGGATGTATTTGGAGGCATGTATCTTGTCCGAGAACACGGTTTTAGTTTCCCCGCTTCCTCTTGCTGTGTTCGGGCATAGCGATGTTCGGAGGTCCTCACCTTCCCCTGTTACCTACCTCCAGTGTTGATAGTGCCGAATTTCCCCACTAGCACAGGATGCAAACTAGGCAGCTCATCGTATATCTATCCATTTATTATCGGCGGAATCGACCTCGCAGATGAGTGAGTAAAACCAGCCTGTAACCCTAGATGCTGCTAGCACATATCGGCAAAGGGAAGCACCTCGCAGGGGATGATGACCCTAGATTAAGCATGTAGACCATCAAGGGGAACAGAATGCGCAGTTGATGGCAATCTACAAGCTGGTTTCATGATGCCACATATCGTACTATCCAAACTTGTAAGGGAAGGAAGGGTTTCCAACATGCATAGGCCGACTGCTCGGACTAAAGGAACAAGCTTATAACTTACCCTAAATGCATTCGATATCACTCGATTCCCTGTAGAATAGTGATGTAGGGAAATTTGGCACTATCGATACCGTACGCAGGGGATAGCGCTTGCATTAGTTATTTCTCTCTAGCATTAATCAAGGGGCTTTGTTCCCATCCCTCCCGTCCCGCGACCGCGCAGTAGGCTTAACCCCAGCACTCAACCCAGATAATACCTTTCAATCCAAACTATCGGAAGCTTTCCAATCCATCATGCCGGCACCGTGCAGGGCCGGGAGTCTTATTGTTTCTATCTATCAATATCCCAGCAGTAGAGTGAGTGTATTTGCTCTGCGTCTCTGAGAGGGCAGTAGGGGGGGGGGGGGGGGGGGCTCGGCAAGCTTTGTTGTCTCGATCTTCCGTTTAATCCAACTGTAAAAACAAGGGTATCATATATGTTTATAAACATCCTCATCCTTCCGTGGATCACCACATTCCGTGCCTCCAGACATGTTCCCACCGCCCCGCGCATATCAGCGATAGCAGAGGGAAGATTTGTCTAGGGCACCTTCTCCATAAAGCACGATAACTCCGGAGCAATCTAGCACTCTCCTAGAACTTCTACGATTAACGACAGCGCACCGGCCACCTCCAGAAACCCCGACAAAGAAGAGGGGGGCTACTGAATCGTCCTCAAACTACAATCTACGACTTTTCTAGTTTTTATTCAACCTCGTCGAATATCACGCTGCCATCATGGGCGCTCACTCAGTGTCCACATTCCAGTACAAGGGATCTGCTCCTCTGTGCGACAGGGGGTGCCGCAAGGTAGCCTGCCTGCTCGACCAAATTAGTTATAAGATAGGTCAGAAGGAAGAAAAATCATTCGCGTATATTCAAGGCAGTCTAATTCTAAGTTGTTGGAAGATGTGGCTTCTCAGGACTCCATTACTAGATGGTTACCGCATCGGATTTGTTTGGTATAGGGATCCCGAGCTGGAGGGTCCGAGTAGGTCCTATTGGGAAACTGGCTTGGATGATACAGGACACGCTGTTCAAAGTGACTGCTAAACTCATGTAGTATATTAGTACTTCCTTCTCGCAGGAGATGGAATAGATGGACAAGTCTTTTCTCTACTCTTGGATGCGGTGATATTACAACAGGTTATGAGCCCGGTCAAGTGCTAATCCAATAGCCATGATGTCAAGCAACTATCTTGGCTCAAGCAGCAATACTGGTGGCACCATATCTGAAAATACCTACCGTTGCAAATATGGCCAAACACATGTACTCCTTCCGACGAACTATCATCGATGGTCACAAGACCTTCAAGCATTCCTGGAAATCGAACAAGCATTCAAGATTGTCCAGCAAGAGGAACTGGAGCCTCCTGCCAATCCTGCTGCCCGCCATGCATCTTGGGAAGAACGCAGAGTGAAAGCCAGAGTCATGATCTTCACCTCCTGTGGTCTAGCCACTCGCCAGCAAATTACTCTTGCAATGGAACCCTGGGTTATGTGGCAAACCCTGCGAGCAAAGTATGATTCTGCTGCATCTCGAGCAGGACGATTTGCCCTTCGGGGACGTTTCAATCGACTTCTCCTTTCACAGTTTCCCTCAGTTACTGCCTTCATTACGGAGTTGACCAAGTTGCGTCAACAACTCTCTGGCTCAACTGAGGAGGTCACTGACTCGACCTTCATTTCTCAACTTGTTCCCGATCTCCCGAATGAATATGACGCGATCGTACAAATAATGTCACGCGATGTGAATCTCACTGCTGATGACTTCATCACAGGAATTGTAGAACGTGAAGCCGAACTCGCGAATAAGAAGAGCCAAGTATCTGAATCCGGATCAGCAGACTCTGCCAATAAAGCACTGCTTGCAAGAAATCGTGCAAGTGCCCTTTTTACCAATACGGAAAGAGGAAATAAGTACTCACGCAGACCATATCCTGGTTTTGGTGGAGTACCACTGGGAAGAGGTAGAAGTAAAGCCCCATTTAGGGCAAGTCACAGTGGACAGAATGGTTCGGGAAGGAACTGGAGTAATGGAAACCAAAATGGGGTTGAGTGCTGGTACTGTACTCGGAGAGGCCACACCCAAAAAGAATGCCGGTTGAGGATACGCGCTGAAAGCCTCCGACGGAAGAGAGAGTCAACCACAACCGCTACCTATGCCAGTGTGGATAATGAGGAACCAACTGCTTTGGTAGCAATTGGAAGAGGAATGCGAGATACTGTAGGAACTTGGGTAGTTGACTCAGGAGCAAGTGATCATATCTGTCCTGACCGACGTGCATTTCACTACCTGAAGACCTTGAGTAGCCCAATTGTGATTACACTGGGAGATGGTAATCAAGTATTGGCTAAGGCAAAGGGCGTGGTTCGTCTGCTGCTATGCAAAGCACATTATATCGATATCGAGGCACTCTACTCTCCAGCTATGAAGTTTTCCCTGCTCTCGATTTCTTCTCTATCGTCTGAGTTTGCAATTGCCTTCCGCGAAAGGGTCTGCTACATCTCTCGTCAACTGATAGGATCCAAGGAAATTCCGATTGCCCAACTACAGCGAGGGCTCTGGAGATTGTATGGCAAGGCGATTCCAAAGTCCCATGGACCAGTTATCCAATTACCTTCTGCGAGCCATGATAATGCTGGAGTAGACTCGCCGAATTTAAATCTACAGCAGTTATCTACTAGTAGTAATCTCTTACTTAGCGCGATATCAACCAAAGAAGAAGAGATTGCCTGCCTATGGCACCAACGGCTAGGACACTTACATTTCGCAGCTATCAGGTCCATTCTTGGCTGCAAAGTCCCGCTCAGCAGTGCGCTTTGTGAAACCTGTATAAAGACCAAGCACTGTCGCCGATTCATTAAGCGCCCAGTTCCGCGAGCAACTAGACCCTTCGAGACGATTCATTCTGATGTCTGCGGTCCCTTCAAGTGCCTGTCCTTTTCGGGTGCCCGATACTTCATTCTATACATAGATGACTATACCCGCTTCTGCTGGGTTTATTTTCTTCGTACAAAGGAGGCGAATGAGGTTACTGGACGCTTTCAGGAGTTCAGAGAGAGAGTTAGAAAGATCTTTCCACAATGGGAGATCTCAAAATTTAGATGTGATAACGGAAAAGGAGAATATGATAATACCTTCTTTCGTGGAATTCTCAGGGCCACAGGAATCCAGTTCCAGCCTGCACCACCCTATTCACAACACAAGAATGGGATCAGTGAACGGATGATTCAAACCATACTGTGTAAGGCAAGAGCGATGCTCTTAGATGCCCGTCTACCCGCTGCTCTCTGGGCAGAGACTGTGAATACAGCTGTCTACCTACACTCACTATCTCCATCACGAGCAATAGCCAATAAGTCACCACATGAGATGCTTTATGGAACGAAGCCAACCATGAACCATCTAAGACGGTTTGGGTGTATTGCCTACAAGCGGATTCCAAAATCACAGCAAAGAGATCCTAAATACGGTGAGCGATCAAAACATTGCATCATGTTAGGATATACCGCGACAACCACGATTTGGAGACTGTGGGACCCCGACTTGAGGACAACAATTCGCACCTCGGATGTAATATTCGATGAGTCCTATCTGGCTAGTAGTCTAGTCCAGCCAGAGGACATATTCGGTTCTTTACTTCCCCAGAAGCCCGAGACTATTGAGGTAGAAGAAGAAGAAGAAGAAGAAGAAGAAGACTACGTGAAACCTGGAGTGGAACTGCCAGAGAATTCAGTTCCCATAATAGTAAATCCTGTTGAGGAGCAACTTGAATGCCAAAGCAATGAGCCGAACCCCGATGCTATAGAGGTAGCTTCACCAGTCACAAAGGCCCAATCACGGCCTCCTCAACAGAAGACTTTAAAGAAGTACAAGAAAGCTGGGCCTGAACCAGAAGTGTTAGCGCCACGACGCTCTGGACGCTTGAAATCATTAGCCGCTGCTGCACTCACAAGTACCACACCTTCTATGGTATTGGGTGACGATCCAATTACCTACGATGAAGCTATTAGGTATCCATGCTGGCGTCAGGCCATGCATGATGAGTTTGAAAGCCTGCGCAGCCATGGTACTTGGAGATATGAGAGAGCTACAGATAATATAGCAGCAGCTGGCAAGTCCGTGATTGGGTGTAAATGGGTATACAAGACAAAGACTCTCCCCAATGGCTCATTGAAGGCAAAGGCAAGACTGGTGATAAAAGGCTACGAGCAAACAGTATATGGAGAAACCTTTGCACCGGTAGCAAGGCTGACAAGTCTACGGATGCTAGCTGCACTTGCTGCAAAGAATGATTACCATACTGATCACATGGATGTCATTGGAGCATTTCTGAATCCTACAATCGATGAGAAAGAATATATGGAGCTACCAGAGGGAATTGAGTGGCTCGATCCAGCTGCAATAAAAGAGAGTAGTAGAACTGGTGTAGTTGTATGCCGCTTGCTTAAAGCACTCTATGGACTCAAACAAGCGCCTCTGCTCTGGTATAAAGAAATCGACGGTTTCTTGAAATCAATAGGATTCCTTGGCTCCTCCTATGATCCAAATCTTTACATGTCTAGTTTTGATGTCTTCCTACTTCTGTATGTTGACGACATACTCCTAGTATCGAAGACGGCTTCCGAAATCCAACGAGTAAAATTCTTACTTAGCCAAAAGTATCGGATGACAGACCTCGGAAGAGCTACTTGCTTCCTAGGTATTGAGATAAAGCAAGAACTGGACTCAACTACCTTGAGTCAGTCTCGCTTCATACATACAATCCTACGCAGATTTCAGATGGAAAACTGCAATCCAGTTCAAACACCCTTGGAACCAGGAACTCAAGTTCTTACCACAGATGATCCAATTTCAGCTACAGATCAGAAGACATATCAATCCTTGATCGGAAGTCTTATGTATCTTGCCCTTGCTACGAGACCAGACTTAGGATTTACTATTGCCTATCTTAGCAAGTACAACTCAAAAGCTACCTTACAACAATTCCAAATAGCCAAGCGAACTCTACGATACCTAAAGGCCACCATACACCTAGGCCTACGCTATTCGAAAACGACTAAGGACGATTCTGGATCACCGCTGGTAGGCTATAGTGATGCAGATTTTGCCGGAGATATACAAGATCGAAAGTCTACCGGTGGCTTTATATTTCTTATGGCTGGTGGTGCCATATCATGGCGTTCTAAAAAGCAACCAATGGTGGCTCTTTCTACAACAGAGTCTGAATATATTGCTTCTTCAGAGACAGCAAGAGAGGCGTTATGGCTTCGAGGAATCTACTTAGAACTATGTCCAATTAAGCATCTCCCTCCTACTCTAATTAACATCGATAACCAGAGTACAATAGATCTTACCAACCGTCCTCAATTCCACGAGAGGACAAAACATATAGATGTTAAACGCCACTTCACCCGCGACGCAGTACAAAATCAGGAGATCTCAATCTCATACTGCCCTACAGATCAGAATACTGCTGATATTCTAACAAAGGCTCTTCCGAGAGCCTCACACTGGAAGCATATCAGTGGCATGGGACTATGCAGTATTGAAGTTGACTGAAAGTTATATTTCATTTCTGGCTCTATTCCATATGACTGTATTCCTTTATTTATTTATTTATTTTTATCATGGTCTACCTGTATGTGACACTCTTTTCCTACCCTTAAGCTGCCTATTTAAAGGCCCGAGGGAGGTTTTTAACGAGGTCACAAAGCAATCTGTTGAGAATCTAGGCCACTTCTCTATTTTCTTTTTTCTACCGCAGTTATCCTAGGATCCTTCGAAGAGTGGGGGTGTTGGAAGATGTGGCTTCTCAGGACTCCATTACTAGATGGTTACCGCATCGGATTTGTTTGGTATAGGGATCCCGAGCTGGAGGGTCCGAGTAGGTCCTATTGGGAAACTGGCTTGGATGATACAGGACACGCTGTTCAAAGTGACTGCTAAACTCATGTAGTATATTAGTACTTCCTTCTCGCAGGAGATGGAATAGATGGACAAGTCTTTTCTCTACTCTTGGATGCGGTGATATTACAACATAAGTAGCCGGGTTTTACAAGACATGATATCATACTACCCTTGGCGCGCTACCAACTGCACGAGTACCCGCGCACTGTAACCAATCATTACTCCAAACACGGAAAAATCATCACAACTAATCTACTTGTACCCCCAAATAGCACCAGAGCCGCAGCACCATATAGCGAATTCCCCTGCAGCCCAACCATCCAATCAAACACCCTGTGATACTATCCCTAAGCAAAAGGCATAACATAATCCAATACCGGCTCCATCAAACCCGCAGACTGCGGTATGCACATACCCAACCAACAAACCCATCCTAAAAACACCCAACTATATCAACCCAACCTCATCATAAATAGTAAGGGGGGAGATTAAACTAAATTTTTCTTTTCCGTCAAAGACTCCGCCCCAATACCAAATGGTTTGCCACCTATCGCAGATTCGTCGAAGAAGTGACAGGTATAAGTTTAACGGACCGGTTTGCCTAACCATACCCAACCCCCCACCCACACAAATCGTGGGCTTAAACAAATAAATAAACTGAGCTAAACCAACTCGCCGGGTTAAGCCACCATTCAAATTTACCATGAAATAAAGCTATAAGCAAGCAAACGCGAAATCTACCTCTGCCATGCCGATTCTTGAGAACGAGTGGAATTAAACGAAAGAAAAAAAAAACCCACCCAGTTCGCCTGCAAGAGGAATAAGGAATGGAAAATATGAAAAATAAAATAAAAACAGCGGAGGATTGGTACAAGATGTATACCGCCCGGGAAAGAAGGGTATTTTACGCTTGCTGAGGATAAGGCGCGCTATGATAATGGGCATGGTATAGTGTGGTATGGTGTAACAATTCTCCTCTTGAAACGCTAAATGCAGGGTGGAAAGCAAAGCAAAGCAAGGTATCACATCATCTCTTCATCTTCTGAACCTCTTCAAGATAAATATCTCCCCCCTCATCACTTGCCCACCTTCTCCACGCTTCATGGTAGGCATCTTCCAAATCACGCACCCAGCGCTTAGTATCGAAAAGCGCTGACTCCCACCGATGTTCAAACAGCACCTGTCTGATAGCCCTTAATTCTCCAATCCCCCTCCCCTCATCATTATCATAAACAAGATTGGACACCAACGCCACTGCCCGGTCTTCATACTCCTCCTCGCTGCCAACAATAAGGCTATTGGCCATCGCCTTCCCCTCCGGCGTCTGCGGGACTGCAGCGCGGAGAATGGAGGCGGCGATGCGGGAACACATTTTGTGCTTATGTCGTGGGAAGGTCAATAATGGTGTTCCGGACCAAAGGACGTCTGCAGCAGTCGTGTGCGCGTTGCATTCCGGCGTGTCGAGGAAGATGTCGCAAACTTGCGCGCGGGATATGTGTTGGAGCTTTGGAGCTACGTCTGTAAAGATTATGCGGGAGGAGACCTCCCCCCCTGCCCAGTCAACTGCGAGGGCTTTTAGGTTATTCTCGCCGAGGTCGGGAAAACGGAGGAGCCAGAGGATGGCTTTGGGCACACGGGAGAGGATTCGGAGCCAGGTTCTGAAGGTTGTCGGCTCGATCTATAACAGTGATCAGCGGTGATATAAAATGGTAGTGGCGATATGGAAGGCTGGGGGTCACACCTTATACAGCTGGTTAAAGTTTCCAAGGATTACATTATCCGGTTTAAGTTGAGGGAATAGCTCCTTCCTTTTGGCCCACCGGCGTGTCTGCTCTTCCTCCCAGCTTAATTGTCTTGATTTAGAATCCGGCGCACTCTGCCTATGGTCGCAGCAGAAAAAGCTGTACTTGGCAAATATAATATTCTCCGAATAAACCCATTCCCCATTATCGTTTGTTGTGCCCTCATGTCCTTCATCTTCAAAATCGACATTTCGTCTCCAGGGTCGCAGAGTTTCCGCGGGAATCGCTGTCGAGTCGGCGTAAAGATAGTCACACCATTCGGCCCCTAAGGTGCCCGCAAATCCCATAAAGCTCATCTGAACTGGCGCTGGCCTGGCGGCGAATATCTCATTCCGGGCGCCTCGTGTAAAGCCATTAAGGTTAATTAAAATATGGATACCGTCGTTGACAATTTGCTGGACCAGACGATCTGGCCCCCAGCTGTGGGCATCATGGAACACAGGTGATTCCCTCTCAATCTGTTTCCTATGCTCTGAGTTATCGCTCGCGGTGGTAGCATAACAGTAAGCCTTAGCACGAGCTGGATCATGGAGACCAAACACGGACTGCATTAGATGGGCTAGAGGGTGATTATTAAAGTCTGATGAAACATAACCAATTTTCAGGTAGGGCGCTGGTGGTGCTGGTGGCGGGAAAACATGAGGAGGAAGCCATGGCGCTCGTAATGTAGAACAGGATATTCGCAATCCATTCCGCTGAGAGATCATCCTAACTTGTTTAGCTGAAAGCGGACAAGTGAATGTATGAAATGGAAGAACTGTTGGAGCACTTGGGGTTGATAGGCTCGATGGAACTGTGGGCCTGGAATATTCGCTCAGGGGGTTCTCAACACCCTGGACATATTTTTCTTGATACCACCTCCAAACAGTCCTCCGAGATGCCCTCTCGATGAGTCGGATAACCTTTGCCCCTTCAAACCGTTTCCCAGCCCAACCCTCAACCCTTTTCCTTAACGAACTCCTCCTTTCCTCTGACCATCTTGCCCCGTCCGCCTTCTCGAGTTCCCTCAATAGCGTGTCTGCGACCCCCGAAACAGCCACTACGCCTTTCCCCCAATGTTCTCCGTCGACCAACTGTTTCTCTACGATCTCCACAACTCTTTTCATCCACCCACTGGACTCTATTCCAACTCCTCTAGCATCCATCAATCCCCCATTGTCATCAACATGCCATCGATCTCTATTCCCTCCATTTCTCACAATACCACCTCTTCCCTTCCAATCGCAAACACTATTGAGGGCATTTGCCAACCCGCAAACGGCCTCCGCAAACTCCGGACTAGCTTTCACGGCCCTGCGGTAAAACCCGATGGCATCACCGATACGACCCTGATCCTTGACCGCATTGGCTAGATTCGCGAGCGCAATATCGAAAGTGGGGTCACAGGCAACAGCCTGTTCATACATTTTGATTGCCGTATCCAACCGGTTGATATCCTTGAGCAGACTACCCAAATTGGTATATAAATGCGCATGACGTGAATCGAGACTGAGTCCATAGTAATAGTACTGCAATGCGAGGTTGATGCCAGATCCCTGTCCAGAACCTGGCAGCCGTGGAACTACGACAGGCGCTGGCGCCGTCGCCAACGCAGACACTTGCTGAACACTTGCCAGCAAAATCCCGACATTATTGGCCGTTGAAGGGCTAGGGTGCAGCGAAAGGGAAAGGTAGTACAGGGCTAGGATATCTTTGACGTCGGCGGCTGACCTTGGCCCTCCAGCGCCTGCCCCATGCCCAGACGACATACCATCCTGGAATATTTTTGCGAGCGAGAGGAGAGAATTACTTGCAGTGGATATGGCCGCTCGCTTGGCTGCCGCACTTGGAATATCGCGTAGTCCCGGAAGTTCTCCAGTTGGTGGGAACACAAACCTAGTAGTGTGAACGGCCTTCTCCGGAGTTAACAAGACTGGACCCGAATTAGCTGTAGACAGTTCTCCTGAGACGTAGACACCATCGACGGCTGGTCTAAGCACAGCAAGGATCTTGTTTATTAGTCCCCTGATTCCACCCCGTTGCATATCAGCGCCAAGCAATACAGCATCTTCAAAGGCTTTGGCCGCGCCAGCATTGTCCCCCAATGTGTAGAGCATATTTCCCTTCGCATGTATCAAAGCTAGCATACGACCATTGTCGGACGAAGGAATAAGGAATTCGCTCGATCCATGGCATACGACACTCTTGGCTGAAGGAAAGAATTTGGCATGGCTCTCCTCCGTGTCGTAATCAAACTTTAACTCCGGCAACGCTGAAAGAGACGTTGAAGATAATTCGTCACTAGACCCACTGCTGCTGGGGCCGGGGTTTCTTCCGCCCAAGCAGCTCGGGCGGCGAAGCTTAGACTCGACGAAATTGATGATATCGACAGCCTCTCTCCCACGATGCTCGCCACAAAGCAGACCAACCAAATGCTCAACTGCTTCAAAATAGCTGGGACGTTTCTTGACTGCACGAAGCCAATATTGCTCTGCTTCCTCACGTCGATTTAAAGAAAGAAGTGTCGCAGCTAAATTTGATAGTGCTTCCACGTGACTATGTACATGAGAGATGTCAGCATCTTTGGATGAAACGAAAATCGGACACCGTGAGAGGTTGTACCCGTGATCCACTTCCAAAATTTTGGAATACCAGTCAATCGCTCTAGTTAGATCACCCAAACCCTGCTTGAAATATTAGACTCGCCCCTTTTACCGAGGGAATAAAAACTTGGTGAAAATGGCACAAACATATGCTAAACATCCTCCTAAAAGCATCCCGTCAAGCCAAACCCAATTACTGCTAGCACATAACTCGTTCAACATGTCCAACGCTGCCATAGCTGAAGCAGTCGCTGATGATGGCCTTTGATTGATTACATTACCAAAGCCACCAAGGGGCGTGACATTGAGCATATGTGGCGCATTATTACCGATACCGCTAGAAGCTCGGTGTAATGAGCCCGCAGAATAGCAATCCCTCGGCTGCTTCTTCTCGTAAGATTGCTCACCACTAGACCAAATATCATGAGTGCTGTGCTCAGGAGGATGGTCACTGCCGTCAGGAATGTGTGCTCCATCAACTCTGTTAAAATTATATCCATCATTACTTTCAAATGACGGATTTAAATGAGATGAAGATGTGCCAATTTCCGTGTGATTTTGTTCCTGGCCGATGCCAGGTCTCATCCGTTTCCTTCGGTCTATAGCTCCCCCATTCACAGTAAATCCTCCAGGCGCGCCGTTTGGGGGTGACGGCACGGGGCTTGGGGCGGGAAAGAGCTGTTGGGCACGGGCATTATCAGATCGCCAGTTGCTCACCTGAGGCTGTAAGAGAGGCCGAGGAAACAATCCAACCTTTAACTGTGTCCGCGACCTATTAGTCTCCTGAGAATTACCCTCTGACTGTCTTTGCTGCGCTTGAAGAGCGGCCAGAAGGTCAACATAAACCCCATGAGCCCATGCTAAGACCTTATCCCGAAGCTGAGGATCTGCAGTATCGTGGTGAGCAGTATTAGAGCCTGGCCCATCAAGCTGAAGATGTTGAAGTTGGACCTCCGGGGTATTCACCGAGGGGGAATTCAGCGGATATGGCGACGTTATGTGTGGCGGGAATGTCGAGACGGAAACAGAATCTATCGCTGGAAGTTGTTGGGGAGTCCACAATGGGTCTCCATTCATTTGATGCGGCGATGGGGTATAAACCGGGTTCACATAGTATATAGGAGCCTGCGGTAGCTGTGTAGGAGCCGTGTTTCCATTTCCCCACGCACCATAATGACCGTACCAGTTGCTATCCCTTGGCACGGGATTGTAGTTGCCGCAGCCCATTAAATCATTAAGATCATCGCAGGAAGCGGTTGGTGCTGTTATAGGGTTGTAGAAAGGTTGAAACCCACAAGGCCTTCCCCCCATGTAAATATTATCAGATATTGGTGGGACCATCTGATTTTGTTGAAGTAAGAACTGACGAACATATGGGTCTAGGTTGTCGTCTAATGGTGTCTGGCTGCTTGGTTGGGTAACCCACATTGTTGGGGCAACATTCCCTCCACCGGCTGTCATATCCGCACTTCTCAATTCCCCTCCCCCATCCCAAGGTCTCACTCCTTGGCCAATGCTATTATCCCAGGACAAATGCCTCGCAAGCTGAGGATCTGGATGGACTTGTGGACTGTTTGATTGCGGTGTAGGGAGGAGTATGTGCTTAGTTGGCCTTGCGGACCACTCCACCGGGGCCGCGTCATACGCAGCGGGGAGGGTCCCCGATGGCGTCTTCCGCCGAAGTAAGTTCTCCCGGTACGTGAGTTGGGAAGGGGCAGGCACGGCTGCCGAGAAGGGCTGGGCTCGATACATTGGCCGGGTAGGTAGGCCTTCCTGCGAAATACCCGGGTGTTGAAGAATTGGTCGGTGGTGGTGCTGATGTTGAAAATGGTGTGAACCTAGGGTGTTAGGGTTGGAAGGAAGTAGAAGTTTGGATATTAGCGTAGGTGCAGCGGCAACTCGTGCTCCCGTCTGATCACTCTGATGTCGATGGAAAGCGGGTGAAGGCAACATTCCGAGAAACGGTAGCTATAGAATAGCTCAAGGCTGAAGAAGGTTTGCGGCGACGGTGACCGACGTTGTAGAAGTGAAATAGGGAAGGGGGTTGATGAAGGCGACGCCAGGCGGCGGTCGCGGTCGCGGGATGACGCGAGACGGTGACGGCGGTTTCGTCTTGGTCGAGGGGTCCTGCTTAGACGGTTGCCGCATTAATTAGCTGATCCGTCCGGCGGTTTGTATCTCTGCTATTCTTGCAATTCTCCCCTTCTGTCTACCACCGCCCCTATCTACTCGCGAATGTGGTGAAATAAAGGTGATGACGGAGATGAGATGGTGGGGGTAAAAAGAGCTTCCTAGACGACTGGAACCACCTCCCACTTCCTCTGGGGGCCTCACTACCACAGCCTCCCTATTGTGTGTAATTGGGGTTTCCTTCTTATCTTCCCTCCCCTTCCTCGGAACAGCTTCTGTGATGATGACTCTGGGTGGCTGGCAGGGCTGGGATTTGGGGGGGGGGGACGAGGAATTTCGATGAGACGGCAGCAGTGGAGATAGATAGCAGACATGTGAGACGGCCAACCGTCTCCCTCCTGTCAAGATCCGCTTACCTCAAGGAAGCCAGTCCAAATCCGACCCAAGCTTGTACGGTATTTCTCGCACTCCTCACTCTCTTCCCTTTTTTCTCTTCCCTCCAAAAAAAACCTTCTCCCTCTTACTTTTTGTCCAACCGACAGAGCTGTTCTCACCCGTACCTATTTTTCCCTCCTCGCTCTCAGCTTCCTCACTCGGGCCCTGTGCCCTCCCTCTCAACGGCTTCTCACCCCAGCACCTGAATCTCGAGGGTCGATCTCTCACCACCAAATCCCTAAGGGAGCTAGATCCCAAAAATAGGCCAACCAGAAGGGAAAAAAGTGGGAAAAGGGAAAGTTGAAACGGGGAAGGAGAAAACAGGTAGAGGGTTTAAAACAGATGATATGAATGGAAAGAAATTGTTAAGAAGAGGCGGAAGGGTAATCAGAAGTGAAAAAGCGCGGCGCCCGCTTGAAGTAGAAAGCGACAGGATAAGAAGAAAAAGGAATTGTCGACGGCCTAAAGCTATTGATTGATTAATTATTTTTTTCCCTGTACTCTCCCTTTTTCTCTCACTTCTCGGTCTCCTTTTCGACAAAGGGAAAAAAGTTGTACGGTACTATGTCGACGGATCAGTCCGTGGTTTTCCAACCTTCCATCACCTTCTTAGCGCTGGGCAAGCAGGGCCACTTGTGGAGCAATTCGTTATGTTGGGCGAATACAGCTTCCCTGTCCAACACCTTTCCAAGACAACCGAAGAAACCACAAACACTGCTAGGTACCGAGAGAAGAGACCAGCAAAAGGGACAGCACGGAAAACTTACACCAAGAAGAGTATCTGCTCGGCAGGCCCCTCCTGCGAGCACCGGGCCGAATAGAAATGCGACGATCCTAGAAAATCTGACCACTTCACGATAAAACTAAACGCCTGCCTACTACCGAACCCCGTTTTACCATCCAGATTTCAATCGAAGATCATCCCGCAACAAACAATCAAAAAGGGAAAAATATAAACACAAGCGAGAAGGCGGAAAGGAGGTGAGGTACGAGCAGAAGAAAGTCGAGTTAGGTGGAAGGAGAGAGAGGAAGAGAGAGGAATATGAAACGGTCTGAGGGGGGGACGACTTGCTAATGAAATGTTAGCTGGATGAAGCTGAGCGTCTCTGAATAAACTGTGCAAGGTCAAGAGTACTGTACAGCACGGGTGTGCAGGGGCATGCATATATTTGGCCGCATGATGCAGGTGTGGCAGCCCGCAATTATGTGGCGCGAAAGAAGGCTTGACAGACGAATAAAACGCCAGCTCAAAGCCGTTACCCCCCTCCCGCCGGTCCAATCGCCCCCAAAAATGAAATAATAAAAAGGAAACCGACATCACATCAAATAGAAATCATATCACTTCCTTTCAACTGCTCTCAAAACAAATAAAAAAAGAAAAGAAAAAGAAAGAAAGCATACGGTACCCAATTCTCATCTCATGCACCAATCCACCGGCCTAGTAACCGAAGAGGCAGGTTCCAACAGGAAAACACCACAAAAACCGTTACTCCTACCCGGTATCCACAAGGATCTTACCTACAGTCCCAAAGGTTATCGTATGTAGCTCACCCGCACACCGTTGTAGGAGTGGATGGATCGCAACAAAACTCCAAACCCGAGCAAGCGGGGCAACTGATTTCCCGCGACGCGATCTTTCCCCTAAATAGCCACGGCTCACACCCTTCGGCCCTTCCTATCCATTGCGAGGGAGGAGGAGAGAGAAAGGGCAAAACTGTTGCTCCGTCTGAGCAGCTCACCGTTGGTGGGGGGGGGGGGTCCACGTCTTGGCGGAGGGTTGATTGACTGATTGGTTGCTTATCCTCGGTTGCATTTTGTATCATATGCGGCACAGATCATTTACATTCCTGGAACGACCTGAGGCTGCTAAGACTGCGCAGCTTATTATCGGACCCTTATCATCCTGATCCACCCAGCGCCGTTCCGCAAGGACTCGAGAACAATAACGGGAGAGTAGGCTATGACACCGGTAGACTAACTTATTATATTCCTGTCCCCAGAAGTGTGATGGTGCTGGCCGAAAGGGAAGTGTAGATTGTCCACAAAGTTGGAGAGCTCCGGTGCATAGCGACAAACTACATCGCACCCAAACATCAACGCACCCCCCCACCACCATGCCAAATGAAAGGAGCCGGTGTAGGAGAAATGCTGTGAACCCTATATGCGACTTGGGGAGACGAGTATTTGTTTTTTTCATTAGATTCTGTGGTGCACCTCGAGCGAAGTTAAATCCCCATCTTGATTGTCGCGAAATTCTGATGGAGAATCGTGTCAAGCTGTATGATACCGTAAGCGTTGCCAAGTGGTTTGGTGGCTTTAGGCACTATCCGCCGCCGCACCTTCGGTTTTGCCAAGTACCGGTACCGACATTCGTCGAATACTCGAGTACGGCAAGTTAGTCGAACGCCCGAAAACCCACATTGGGGTGCGGTATGAGTGCTCGAGTACGAGTACAAGTACCAGTGTGCGGTACCGGTACAAGACTACAAGTAGACGGAAGGGATTCTCCGTCCCAGCCAGTCTTACTCGAGTACTCGAGTACTCCTCACCGGTATCCTCCTCGTCCTAAAGTATGATACTCGCAAAAGTACTAGTACTTTGCGCCCCAGGCTACGCACACACAACAAAAGGGGAACGAAAAGAAAAAAAAGAATACAGTATCCTTTCCCCAACACGCATGATTCCATAGCCGGACCACAGTATCAAACCGTAACTTTATCGTCCTTTCCTCCTCCTCCACTCGTACAACCAACAGAAGCACACCTTCCCTTCACCCTCCCATACAATCATTCCTGCCGCACCGCACCCGCCAAAACGCCTCCCACTGCCATGATACTTTACCCGTGCATTGCGTACTGTACATGTACTGTACTAATCGAGCCTGCAGATCACTTCCCCACCACGACCCAACAAATGCCTCCTAAAGCCGCGTACGGTAGGGAGTCTCACCACGCTGACTCAGATCCGGGATGTGCACTACGGCTCGAAGGGGTTCAGCGCAGTACAGTACGTGGGGAAACTTCCTGGTTCATGATGCAATGTCCCTGCTGGCTTGGGAAAAGCCCAATAGATAAGGGACTAACGCTGCAAAGAGAAGGGTGGGGGTTCTCTAGAACTCTAAGTGTGGGATGCTGTCAGCTGGGAAAATTTTCAACACTAATGCTTGCACCCCTCCTTTCTCTACGGGTACTGTATCAGTACGGCGGTAGGTTTACTGCTCGAGCACCCTGTTGAACTCGGCACTGTAGGAGTAGGGTGCCAAACAACCGTCAAACCAACCACCTTGCTAGCCACCTCTAGAGCCGATACGGTACCGTACCGCAGTTCGTTTCCACAGCTCCCGGCTCACAAACCAAACTACTATCGTATTTGAACCGCGCTGAACCGGCGTGGTAAGATCACCTAACCGTGTCCAGTTTTCTACCCCTTTGATGGACGAGAAGTAGCCTCCAAAGCAAGTGGCTCCCAGGGAGTGCCTAACAACTCAATAATAGATTTATCGTATATGATGAGAAATATATTCAACAAGCCACCAATTTTGGGAGTTTAATACCTCTTGAACCCATGATTCTTGTGCCCCTCTATTGCCACTATGGATTGGTATTTTCTTCTTCTTTTTACTGCTTTCTAACCTTCTCCTTAGGCTTTCTGGTCAGAGTTTAGGTTTTTCACCATCATGATCCTCTTTAATTACCTCATAGGATCCTCAGGTGCTTTCTGTAGAACCATTGATTCAAATTTTTAAGGGTGTATAAAATATTGCTACTAAACTTCCTACTAATTAGATTATTACTTTATAGAAGAAATAATATGCACTGCATTTTTCAATATATATAGGACTTAATTTAATATTATAAATTTATAATTTTGTCTATATATTTAGAGCCATTAATATCATGTTCAAACATGCATAGATCTGTAGAAAACCAACTTGCAAAACAGATGGTTTCCAAACAGATAACAACCAAAAAAAGATGGAAAGAAATATATAAAATAAAAAATAAAAATAAAAATAGTGGACGCAGTTACAACCGATAACCACAAAGAAATCCCGAATTTCAAAAAAAAAGCATTAAATTCACTGAATCGTTCATTCTGTCGAGACAAACTCCCCACCGCATGGGACAAGGATTCCATCACTGCGCTGTTACGTACTGTACGGTAGTGTCCTGGAGCGGAGGGGTGGGGCAACCCCCTCAAACCCTCGACGATCGCTTAGCGTCTCTCGAAAGTGGCGGGAAACCTTGGCACGGTTACAGATAACCGTCGGATCGACAATCCTCTAACAAGGATGCGCATACCGGCCATGCTCGTAAAAGGGAGAACCGTGATCAATTACCGGGACTGTACTAGCACGGGTAGGCGGTCAATCGGAGCGGCGAAATAAATTGGTTTTAACTTATATGAGTGTGATGTGATGAAGTTGGGTGGATTACCGTACCGTATCCTCCTGGTTTGTCCTTCTTCTCTCTTTCTTTCTCAATAGAGGGTTTCTTTCGGGTCTTTTTTTTTTTTTTTTTTCCCTTTTTTAGAGGGAGTCTTTTCTTGGTTCTTTTCTTCTTTCTTTCATTGCTGTGGCGGTGGGTTGTGGTGGTTGTGGTGGTGGTGCTGGTGGTGCTTTGGAAAAATGGTTCGGGTTTGGGCTGTCGTTGCGATTAGCGAGCTTGTGGTTTGGTTGGGGGAGTTGGCAGAGCGGGAAGCGGGTCAGGTTAGTCTACCGTAGACTACCGTACTCGTAGTCTGTGGGGACTGGAACGAGGTGCCGGGTGCGGTCCCAGCGAATATTCTGGAAATATCATAATATTTATCATACCAACGCTTGTTCGACACGGTTAGAGTCGCTGTTGTTTTTGTGGGGCACCCCGCGAAGAAGGATAGACGAGTGATTGGGTGATGTTCTAAGGCATTGAGCTTTTCCCCCCCCCCGGGGCGGTGGTTGTGCCGTAGAGTCATTGTCCATCACTCTAAGTTTGGAATTCAACTGGCGGTAAGTAGGTTCAGGCAGTATAGCGGGAGGGATATAATACCAGTAAATCAGTGGTGTTTTTATTTTATTTTCTTTCCCCTATCCTCCGCTGTTTTTCTGATATATGTATGGCCCGATTGTGATATCTCTGCTTTGCAGTATCACACTTGTAGTTTGGTATCACCCGTGGGCATTCCTACGAGTCTGGCCTTCGAGAATTGCGGTGAGTTTCCGCGGCTACGGTATGGGACGTCCTATGCTGTCACCGACCAACGACTGTCGCAGTGTCATACCCGAAAACTGCTGTGCTACCGGTTGTTCTAGTCTACCACGACTTCTTCTGGGGGATTCACCGAACGAGCACGGCGCCAATCAGACCAAAATACCAGAGTCGGCATCCCAATCTCCGAGTGTCACGCGCAAAGATGCTCCCCGACGATCACCTCCCATAAACAATTCCTCTCGGAACCTCTCCGAGCTCTACGGTGGGGCTATCGTGGACCACTCGGGGAGTGCGCTACTACTGTGCATGAAAAGAAAAGAAAAAAAGGAAAAAACTACGAGTAGGGTCACCATAACCGTGCAGCATCCTCATCAACTCGACTATCCTACCTAACGCAGCGGAACCAGCTTCCCGAGAGAAGCTCCCCAATTATATTCCCACACTGACATCCACCGCCACCCCCTCCCCGCACACACGGCGGCAACGATAATCCTAGGCAAGCTAATCATCATCATCATCATCCTCCTCCTCACAGGGCCCAAGGAATTTTTCATACCCAAACACTCTCTAAGCGTCCTATTATCTACCCGTCGAAGCGTGGGGTTACTACGATATTATAAAATATCTCGGGGATGGCCAGTCACGGTAATTGCCTCGCAAGGGGGAGGTTGGTCCAATGGCGTTAGCCGGGCGGGATTTAAATTTAGGGGGGGTACGGATTTGAAGGAAGTCTGATACATTGTGACAGCGGAACGGCACTGAAGTGATTTTGTCTGGAATAAATTGTAGGCATGCCGGGTATTTTTGGCGGAAGCGACCACAGTACTGTACCTGTAGGATTGGTCGTGAGGCGGGTTTGACCAACGGGTGGAGGGGAGATCATTGCGACAAACTAGTCCTATGGGGAGTGTGTGACCTAGGGACTCTTGGGCCTTTATGGCTCCTGTTGGCTGAACCCTCTCGTGGCCGCTGCCGAGAACTAGCATATCACGTCTCGATTCGAACCGTTTTTTTTCGGTTTTTTTTTTTTTTTGCTTCATCGATTCTCTTGTCGTATCGGTGTGCGCGTCATGTATGATATTAGAGAGGAGGGTCACCATAGATCACTCGGCTGAGGAATGCCCGATATATTATCGGAATTGTTATGATACTTCGGTGCGATGGAAAGTACACGCTTGTCCGCACTACCTACTGCACAACCTGGGGCATCATGATATGGATAATGATAGCATATCGATGTATATAGATCAGACCGCCGGTACAAATAAATAGGGTGGACTCGGGAGCAGACAACATAAAGTCTCTCAAAAAATTGATCTTTCAACCACCGGGTTCTACATATATCAAGCTATATATATTCCTTCTTTCAATACCGACTCCTTGTGTGTGACCTCCTTTCCGAGCACTGTGGTTGAGAAAAAGAAAAACAGAATACTTCGAGACGGCTCGTAAGTCGAGCCATATCCAAAATAGTACAGTGCAATGTTAAAACATCTCAATTGTGACAGGAACTGCCATTTTTTCTTCTTCTTTTCTTATGATACCTGCTAGATAGGACCTTATAGCATTACTACGACACGAATTCAAATAATATATCATACTGACTCCCCCGGTTCGAAACCACGAGTCTATTTCAAACCCAAAATTGGATTCCACTGAGATCGCATTCTACTTAAATGCCCCCACCGGATTCAGTTCCCCATTTATCGTAGCATAAGTGGGAGTTTCCGCTACCGTTTCTGACATTATGGGCTGTATGTTGTATCGACTTATCCGAGCTCAACTTGACGGGTTGGTATTCTTGGGGTGGCCGATCTCCTCGAACAAATCGAAGAAATAATAATAATAGTAGTAAGAATGATAAGACTATAGCATCAAATTTTTTTTCTTTTCATTTTTCATTTTTCATCGATGGCCCGTCCGGCACATAACCGTCAAGTTAAATACCGTAGTCCAAGGGCACGTCCGGCTGTCTACGGATTTAGAAATTGACAAGGGTCAGAAAACACACCCCACAAGTCGCGCGCTTTCAACTGTAGTTATTCCCAGGTTAGCGCAATCCACATTGAAGCCCTAGAAGTGTACGGTATTTGATCCATGCCCAGCATACCAGGTACCATATCATGAAAAAAATAATAATAATAATTTGAAAACACTAGTATCTAGGTTTGTACGATATAGACAAGGTCTCGCGAGATGGGGCCTTCCTGCACATCCACTCGAACCGGTGGTAGGTAGGTACAGTACCCGTACCGCACCCAAACTCTGCGCAGTGTGCCATTTCCACTGCTTCTTGATGGTGCTAGCCCGGCCTTGTTGACGCCGTCCCCGACACACCCCACCGCGTGTGTATATCGCTTCCAGGCAGCGTGCACGATCAATAAAGCCATCAAGAAACAATACCACAAATGTCATTGCGTCTATTCCATTCCAGACAGGCACAGCACAGCAGTGCTATAATATGATACCCAAGCAGGATAAACAAACCACCACCCCCCTACAAAAATCCCCATCGTAACTACCACCCGACACGACCACCGTCGAAGCCTGCTACCCAACGCAGCCAACCAACCAACCGATCAGATAAGACAACAGGCACGATGATGATGGTGAAGTATCGTTTAGCATTCCACACCCCGCCCGCCAAATCGATAAACCGAAATACCGGTATATCGACATCTGCGGACTTCCCGTGGATGGATGGATGGATAGGTACAGTGGATAGATAGATGGCTCTGCGATCACTTCTAGCCTACCACGCTTTCTTGTTGCTGTGCTACTCAGTCGCCGTCGGTATATCTATCTATCTATGGATTTATTTGGCTATTAGGCTTACTTATGATGGTCGGACGGTGCTTGTTTTTGTACAGTACTCGTATATCACTGTATGTGTCGGGGGGGGCAGTTTTACGACGGGTCTGGAGGAACTTTTCCCAGGAGGACCTTATCGGTCTGTAGTACGATATCTCGGAAATGTCAAAGTGGCATTATTGGCTACTTGGGGGCTGTGTAGTGGTGGTGCTGTGTTAAATATTTCATCTCGGGAGATTTTTTCAGCTCACGTAGAGAGAAAGGGTGGAGGTGCAAGGTTATACGAGTGACATTTTATGATGACATGTGGGTAAATTTCTACATATTCTTGGCTATCCATCTCGATGGATCGTGGCCGGGATGGGAAGGCGGCGGCCCGACAACCGAAATGAGGATACAAGTACCGTATCGTAATTTTCCCGTACGCACGTGTCTGGTATGAAGTGCTCGTGCCCCGGGATTTGAGTGGGACGAGAGTACCGGTAAATTGTTATTTGAGTCTGAATTTAGTACGGTACTGGTATGGATGCTCGGAGGCACATGAGCAATTTGCCATACAATCTCTTGATCCCTGTGTTCGGGTATAGAACAGTACGTGGTGCCAGATCTTGTGCATCGATACTGCCCCTTGAAACACACAACATTCGGTTGATCTCGGGTAGAGCCATTCCGAGCTGCCAGTACCCAAATCGGGAGGAGAAAAAAAAGAAGAGTTATTGCTTTTTCGGCATCCCGGGCTTCCAAACTTTCTAAATGCCGTGCGATACGTTACCCAAAGCAACAGCTCAGATGCCGGTGGACCTTTGTTTAATTCCTATGATGCAGGGATTGAGATAGTGCTACCGTTCTTCCGCCTCCCTTTTCACCCAACCCGAAATGCCCAATACCCCGCCGGGGCCGTTTCTACCCCCGGCTTCGCAGTCAATGTCGTTGCCTTCGTAGTAAGTATCATCATCCAAGCTCCATTTACGCACGGGCGTAGCAGTCGGCGCGGACGTGTAGCCTGCCCGGTACATTTCCAATCCGGCCCAAGCTATCATGGCAGCGTTGTCGGTGCAATACTTTTGCGGGGGAACGGCGATACGGATGTTGTAACCGCCATTGCAGAGGTAATTTGATAGTCTAGGTCACAGGATGTCAGCGCGAGCGAGGAGTGTGATATGGAGAGCAAACATGTTTTTCAGGAATTTATTCGCCGCGACACCCCCGCTTACGACCAAGGCACTCGGCAGCGTCTTGGAAGCTTCAAGAGCGGTAGCGATCCGGCTCGCAATGTGTTCGAATGCGACCATCATGACTTCCCTTCCTAGGGCCTTCCGTTCCTCCACCGAAATACTGCTTGGACCGCCATCTTTCGCCCAAAAGTATCTATCCAGAGTGCTTCCCAGCCCACAGAACGAAAAGGCATCGGAAAAGTGCACCTTCCCGTTCTTACTCAAGGGCTGGCAAAGTTTCCACTCCCCCCATTTTTCCAGCTTCTCCTCGTCTTCCTGCCTCCTCTCGGGAGTCTTGCGCGGATGATAGGCGTACTCTGGCTCCTCCTCGGGAAAGCAAAACCTCTCCAGTGCCGCGCCATAGGATACAGCCTCGGGGTGACCATCCATGACCGCTTCGGGCAGTAACCTCCTCGCACACTTGTCCACCATGTCACCCAACGCGATATCCATTGTCTCTGCAAGTATTCTGTGACTAGTCAACCCACGACTCTCTAGCAGGATTGTGTGTCCCCCGGAGACTAGCAGGGTCATGAATGGAAATTCCACCCCACCCTCGCCACCGTTCAGCGCAGCGACCAGTCGAGGCGTCAAGGCATGCGCTTGCATATGATGCACCCCGATCAATGGAACACCCCACGCTGCGCTCAACCCCTTGGCCGTGTCAAAGCCCGCCGCGAGCGCAGCGAGCATACCCGGACCCCGTGTCACCGCCACCAAATCCGGTTTCCGTGATATCTCTAGGGATTGCAGCAGGGGCAACAGGTTCCGCCGATGAAACTGCACCGACGCGAGAGGGTGGATGCCGCCGTAGACTCGGTTCGGGCATGTCAGCGTCTTGTGGGCCAGGAGGGTCGCTGTGCTCGGCGACCCGGGAGAGCTGCGGAGGAGGGCCACCGAGGTATCATCACTAGGGGCGGTCATATATCAGTCAGCATCGTGCGCGATTTTTAAGAATTTTGGAAGGAAGGGGACGGGGAGTACCAGGAAGTCTCGATTGCGAGGACCGTAAACCGACGGACGCGCGCGGCGCTCCGCAATCGCGGGACGGAGAGAAAGGTTGGGGAAGGGAGGAGTTTTGACATGATTGTGGAACGGCCGCAGCGCCGGGTGTCCGAGATCGACCCTCACCACAACCAGATCCGACAGCGAACGGGTTCCCACCAATGGTGAAGTTTTCGGAGCAAAAACTCTGTATGGAACCACTCAAAATTGGCTCCTCTTTAATTCTACAAACTCTGTTTGCTTTGACAAGGTGGGCGTAGTTCGAGAAGGGCGAGAAGAGGAGTGTTTTGGGGAAGAAGGAGGAAAGAGAATAATACAATGAAACACTACCAAATATATGCCGGTACTACTCTCTGTGTGTTTCTAAGCGGATAAGAAAAAATTGAACATGAAGGTACATAGATTTTCTGGTGTCTAGAACAGCGGTGATCTGATAGGTCTGGCGGTACCAGTATGATACCCTATGATACCCGAGTACGTATATACCGGTTGCGGGAAAAAAGCTTTTAGTTGAGCCGCGCCAAGACAGCCTATACGGTAGGGCCAAGTCCCTAATCTCACGTGAATACATAATACTCTACCAGTACTCGAGTACGGATACTGTCGGTGTATAGTATAATGTCCGCGCAAGTATCATATCTTACCCGAGAACTTCGATAGGCTCATATTCCCACTGGGGGAAGATAGTACTCGTACAATACAGGTCTACAGTACGGGCACCGCGCAATCTGAAACCCTGTGCCGTCGCGTTCTGGCGAGTTGCGACACAATTTACCGACAGTCGTCAGTGTGGGCGGCAAGCTCTGGACGTCCTTCATAAATTACTCTGCGGCTCCTTGTTGGCAGCGTTTATCGAAATGATGGGCGTTAGTGCAATATCACGCAAGTGCTACCGTATCATACGGCGTTATTGGACTGTACCAGTACACGAGCACTATGCTGTAAGAGAGTACCTCTCTGCATAGCACAGGTTACGCGGCCGGTTGGAAGCTGGTGGACCAAACAACTGAATGATACCCGTGATATAATGCTGCGCACCACCCCCTTAACCCACCGGCCTATCACAGCAAAACCCAGTCGCCTCACCTCACCTCACCTCACTTCACCCAGCTCACGCCAATGCCAATGCCGATATCACCAACACCCAGTATCACAGTCCAAGATGTAACCGTAAACGCCCCGACACGGGGCAAACAAAGGACCCGGGCCGAGCGCTTCACGCAGAGAACATTCCAGGGCTGGAGGGAGAGGGAGAGGGAGAAGCAAGCAAGCAAACCTCACCACCCACCCTTCCCCAGTATGGCGTGGGTTGAGAGTGAGCTCCGGTGAGCTCCTGTAGCACGCTCACCGGCACTGTGCCCATGTGCCACGATGCGCATCCCGAAATGTCCGTCTCGCGAAAGCCGGTCCATGATAGGGTTGCTGCCCTTGTCGCTGTTAGACGCCTGGGTGGTACGGTGCCTGTTTTTGTGATGCGAGCGGGGGAAGCCGTTCACAGGCGCGGGTAGCGCTATTATTTGGTGGCGTTAGGCAGCTTGGGGCTGGTGGACAGCGTGCTGCCTACCGTACCGGGTTGTCTCGGGATGTCATGGCTGGGGTACCGTACCGGTATTCTTTATTGTACAATATTGCGTTACCGTATACTGTACAGTACCTGTATCGTATCGTACTCTCACGGGTCGTTGGTTTGTCAGCCTCTCGACCTTTTTCCATTCATCTATCCGTTTATTCACTTGTTTATTTTCCCCCCTCGACCACACGACAGGAGCTCTGGCCCGTTTCCCCAACAGAGGGGGAAGGAAGGAAGGAAGGAAGGAAGCAAGGAAAGAAGGGGGAAATGCGGCTCGAATGAAAAAGAAAACCACCGAGAAGTATGCAGCAATGATTCCAGCACTGTTGGGAATCCATCGTTGCCCCGATCCCAGTCTGGGAAAATGCACGCGCTGGGCAGAGTGCTCGGGTGCTGGTCGGTCAGGCTCAACTCACTCAACCCGGAGAGAGATCCACTCATGTCAAGGATGGGATGGGGGCCATCCTTGCGAGTTGGGGGGGGGGAAAAAAAAAGTCAGAGCCTCAGTTTCGCGCCGACACTTTGTCAGGACATCCCTCGGCGCCCAGAATACTGTGCAATGCCGTCCTAGTGCTCATATCGCAATATGCATTAACACCATGAGACAAATATTATATAGAAGCCGAAAGGGCTTCGTGTCATCGGCCCTCGCGACGATATTCTACTTTGGACCTGATTGGCCTTTGGCCGATGTTGTGAGGCTGCACTTGTAGGTTTGGGTATCATGGGGACGAGGATGATTTGTCGGGCTCGAGCATACCGGTACCGTAAAAAGGGTTAATTCCGTGCGCCTACTGTATGAGTGGGCTGGCTGATGACGATGGTGGGGGGCGGTTTTCGACACGACCGAGTGGAGGCTTGGGACTACCGTGCTGCAGTGAGGGGTGAGAAATTGGGTTCGTGCTAGTACTGTACAGTACGAGCACCGGAGCCGGTACGGTAGCCTTGTTGCGAGGGAGAAAAACTTCTCCCCCGAGGTAAGGTACTAGCACTGTACGATAGAGGAAGGCCGAAGGCGTGTGTGCCATCGTACCGTATACATACCGTGCCTGGCAGCGGAACAAAACCGCTCACAAGATAGCCTGGTCCAGGGTTAGCGGAGAGCGACTGCAGGTACGGTACGATATGGTGCGATCGCGCTGTAGTCCCGGTTCAGGCTGCCGTGGTGTGGTGCCCGACATTTTTTACGATATCATCCCAAATCTGCCAGCGCTCACACCGGCAACCCACAGCCCACGAGACCGTATCATATCATAATCACTCTCCAGCCATCGCAGCCAACCAGACCTCTACCCCCCAGCCCATCCTCAGCCGCGACAACCTCCCCCAAACGGCAAGTGCAACCAGCCCTGACAAGCCGCCATCTCTCATTCGCCATCCATCATCCCCCTCTCCAGCAGCCAGGCAATTGGCCCCCGCAGCGCCAGCGCAAACGCGAAACGAAACACCCGTCGTTCAGCTCAATGTGGCTTCCGGTATGATAAGGGCGCTCGTGATTCACGGTGACGGACGAGGCGTGAGGCGTGATTGGTCCGTGGTATGCAGAGGAGATGATGCATCGAGGGGGGGGTGATGGGTGGGGGTTATTGCGTAATTTGGGGGGGGGGGGTGGATAGGGGGTTTGTGAGGATTGCCATGATATCGGAATGGTATGCGGAGTCGGAGATTAATGTGCAGTCGCACGCACCCCGCTGTTGAATTATGCTATGCAGCTATCTAACGAATGTGGATCGATTTCTCGGGGTTTCAACCCCTGTCCCTATAGAGATTTCATTAGCCGTATCGAATAACGAGCATAGCTATGAAGCAATTTCACACCTGTCCATCTAAAGTCACGATCATATGTGAGGGGTAGGGGGTTACGGTCTTGAGAGTCACCAACGACCGGGGGAGGATATGTAGAGATTGCATTGATTTTGGCCTCTACGCTCTCCGCCCCACATGCTGAAATCACTATAGCCGGTCCCACCGAGTTGGTGTTTCCAAGATGTCCCCCTCCCGTTCCCTCTCCTCCACTCCTCCATTTCTATTCTTTGCTGATGCTTCCCCTCTGCTGTCTCACCTTTGCAGCCATCTCCATCGCTCTTCGCCAGCCAACCAATGGATCGCCCTCCAGTGCCCAGGCTGCAGTACTGCACGATGGCATAGGAGTCTGCAGTGCCACAAGAAGGCCCAGGAGCAAAGAGGAGCCGTCAATCGTAGTCCGTAAAGAATTTTCACAATTGCTTACCCAGGATGTTGGATCTGCTTTGGATTGCTATACCGAACAATGGGCTATTAGAAACAAGAATGGCCAGATATTTGACGGTCATTATACGGTAGAGGGGTGCGACTGTACACGAGTACGGTAAGTGTGTGGGTTGGAAGCATGGGCGGTATCTAGAGTAGAGTATGATACTCGTACGCCATTGCGCGGTGCAGTGCTCTGCTCGAGGATAGGCAGCGGGTAGCCTGAGCATGCGTGCTATTCTGCCCTGTTTCGAGGGGGAGTGTTTCTTTCTTTTTTTGTTTTTTTCCTCTCCCTTCCTCCTCTCTCCATTTCCGACAGAGTTACCGCCGCTTCAGAAGAATATCCAAAACAAAAACGGTCCGTCGAGAATTCCTGACGGGGCGAGCAGGAGAGGGAGAATGTTCTGGCCCCATGATAATAACATAAACATTATCATCATTATCATCATTATTACCCGTATTCGTCCTCATGTCTGCGCCCGCATTTTTTTTTATCTCCCGTTTCGGAGATTTTAGAGTTTCGCTTGGGGGCGTTGATCAGGGGCTCTCCGGCTCCGGTTGGCCCTCCTCAAGACTCGACCCATCACTCGTCTCATCATGCCCGTTCCTTAAGTTACGGTCTCTGTTGGTGGCCTATTCTATCCATTTAATCTTATCCCATCCATTTGTCGATTTATTCCCCGATACGTGACCCCCCATTGGCTGGTTTCATTTTTATTTCAATTTTTTTTTTTGGCGGGCCGGCGGTTAATGTGTTGAAACGAACTCGCTCTCCCCTCCCCGACAGAGTTTTATTCTATTCTCATGTACGATAGCCCTATCGCGGGTCGGAGAGGGGCGGGGAGTCCAAATTAAGATATTCCCAGGCATGAAAGGGAAATATGTATTCCGTATCCTATGATAGACTTGCGGTACTCGAGCATCATCACACCTCCCACCACCGCCGCTACCCTACCCCTCTCCCTGATTGGCGGGAGGGGGGAGGGGGTTCACTCGAGCACGGTATTATATAGAGCAATTTCATTTCCACCGAATTCTCGTGTCGCTTGTTTGTTGAACTGCATTCTGGGAATCTGCATTGTTTTGTTTTGATTGTTTTTTACTTTCTTTCTTTCTTTCTTTTTTTGCCCTTTCCCTCCCTCCTTCCTTCCTTTTTCTCCCTCTCATTCCTTCCTTTTTGTTTATTCCTCCTCGCTCATTCTTTTCTTCTTCTTCTTCTTCTTCTTCCTCCTTCTCATTCTTATATCAGACGGGGTGGTGCCCTCCGCATTCCCTTCCTCTCCTTCGGGTTTTGTTGAAACGGTCGTGCCTGCACCCGCTTCCGAACCGACCACTATAACACCACTCTCCTTTTTTGCATAACCTGTGTGTCTACCTATATACACGGTGAGGACGCCGTCGGTACTTGCTCGTTACGGGTGACCACATACCACGATACAATACATAGAATATTATACAGGGAAATACCCTTTAGAGTTTGATACTCCGAATTTCACCGCTCTTCAGCACTTTTTTCTTTTCTTTTCTTTTCCCTTCCCTTCCTTTCTTCCTTTCTTTCCTTTTTCCTCTTCCCTCCTTCGGCCATTTTTTGGACCCTCCTTTCGGTCTTACCTTTCTTCCGTTCCCCGTCCAACGTTACTTCAGCCTTTTCTATTCCAAAGTGGATCCACCAATATAAGACTTTAATACCGCCCACAAACTCACTTACCCACCCACCCACCAACTCGCCCGCTCGCCCACTCACTTATACACTCCCTCCTCCTCCTGCTCCCAACTGCATACACTCTCTTGCCAGCAAAAAAAAAACCGCGAAGGGGGGGTGAAGCAAAAAAAAAAAAAAAAAGATGCACCAAACAACACTGAATGACGCCGCCCTCGCCCTCTCACGCGTCCTGACCTTCCACCGGATCCACCACACATTCTTCGGCGGCTTCGCAATCCTGGCCACGGGCGCCGACCACCGCGAGTCGAAAGACCTGGACGTCCTCGTCTCCGCCCCCAAATCCACCATAACCGAGATCCTCTCGGACCGTCGCGACTGGCTGGAGATACCCCAATCGAGGGAGGACTACGTGGCCTACTTTTGGAATTCCAGCTCCTTCACCACCTCACCGCTCGAGCCGAAGCACATGGTGCTGGTGGAGATGTTCGTGGGCCAGCACGACAAGGCTCGCTTCCCCGAGAGTCGGAACACGGTGCTCAGGGGCTGCAAGATGGGGACCAGCTACGTCCCCATCGTCAGCGAGGACGTGCTGTTCCGTGGAAAGCTGAATGCCTGCGCGAGCAGGGGGAAGAGGAGCGATGCTCAGGATGTCGACTACCTGGTCTCCACGTACGGGGAGAGGTTGAAGGTGGTCGCCAAGAGTTTGGATAAGAGGACCGTGGGCTTGGCCGTTAGGAGGCATCCTGAACTTAGGAAGGTACTGGCCGAGTTGGGCATCGGCACCCGTGGCGCCGTTTGGGGGGTCAGGAAGGCCAAGATTGAAGTTGCCGTTGTGCCCCAGAAGTGGGATGTGCATCGGGGGTTGGGGCTCGAGTGTGCTTAGGGCATTCATTCATTCCTTTTTCTTTTCTTTTCTTTTCTTTTTTTTTTTTTCGTTGTCATGGCTGTTGATGATGGGTTCGGAATTGGGTTGGGTGGAGTTTTTTTTTTCCTTCTTCTTTCTTTCTGGGTACCGATTATGGAGGGGAAGGAGGTTGGGTGATGAGGGGGTAATGGTGTGGGATATCCGTTCGTTTTATTTTTCGGGAAAAAAAGGTGCATCGGTTTTGGTTTCTGTTCTTTTTTTTTTTTTTTTTATATTTTTTTATTACATCTCCACTTGTTTTTCACATCTTGTTTAGCGATGCATAGCGTTGGTTCCTGTCGTTCATTGGTGGGGGGGATACTACAAAAAAGGGGCATGACATTCATTTGGGCATTATACTGAACCGGTCTTATGAGATCGGAGGAGTATGTAATAAGTTAGATAGGGTCTAGTTTTCAACTAAACTAGACTGAGTGAGTGATAAAGTGTGTTTAGATTTTTTCATTATTCTTCTCTTTTCCTCTTTTTCCTCTTTTTCCTCTTTTTCTTTCAACTCTCTATATAGCTAGCTACGGTGGTTAACTTGGTCGTATAAAATGGAATACAGATGCGGTAGATGGTACAACCGTACAAGTATTAATATTTCGATTATATGGTACGATACTGTGTGGGTGACATAAAAGCATAAACCTCGCTATAATGGAAGTCGCTTCCATCTTTAAAAGATTGGTGTGTGTAGGGTTATAGAAACTGGACGGTCCCTTGCATGCTTCTCCCGTCCAGTTGTTGATGGGGGAGGAGCATACGGTAGTCTAGCGGGACTGTACTCGTACTAGGGTAACGGTACATAAATGATAAATGATAAAATCTAAGAATGGGGATAAAAATTGCAACCAGATCTTGTGAAACGATGAATGAAACCACAACCGACTAACTTTAACTCCCCTCGAGAAGATAGATGATCCCTGTACGGTAGTCAATCCACCCCCTTACCACCCCATCTACAGTACAGTTACGGTACTCGAGTAGAGTATCTGTGCATCCATCAATCAATCAATCAATCAATCAAACTCCCATCACGGAAAGACATAGCTCGAAGAGAATGCCCCGCCTAAAACTCTCCACAATCCCCAAAACCCTCTCCACCCACCTCTTCTCCCCAACCCTGACCACCACCACCACCAACTCGACGACGCCAACGCCTCCAACGACCTCCTTCCAGATCCTCTCAGACCTCCACCTCGAAGCGACCCAGACGCCGCCAAACACCTACGAGACCTTCCACATCCCGCCGCGAGCCCCCTACCTCCTGCTAGCCGGCGACATAGGGCTGCTAACACCGAGCCATTACCCCCGCTACCTGCACTTCCTGACGGCGCACGTCCACAAGTTCCAGCAGATCTTCCTGACGCTCGGCAACCACGAATTCTACCACCAATCCCGCGACGAGGCGCTCCTGGCCGCCGCGCAGCTGGAGGGCGAGCGGGCGCTGGAGGGCCGGGTGAAGGTGCTGTACAGACGCGTGGTGGAGGTGGAGGTGGGGGATGGGGACGGGGGGAAGGAGGCGGTATACATCCTCGGCGCCACGCTCAACACCCACGTCCCCGGCTCGGCGGCGGCCGAGGTTGCGGCGCGGGTGCAGGACTTCCGGATGATAAAGGGGTGGAGTGTGGAGGCGCACAACAGCGCCTTTCGCGAGGATGTGGAGTGGCTGAAGGCGGCTGTGGCCGGGCTGCGGGGTCGCAAGGCCGTCATCGTCACGCATCACGCTCCCTGCGTCGGCGGGACGAGCAAAAGGGTGTTCGAGGGCAGTTCGCTCGCTTCCGCCTTCGCCACGGATGTGGTCGGGGAGGTGCTCGCTGATGGCGGCGAGGGCGTGGGCACTTGGGTCTTTGGCCACACCCACTTCTCCGTCGACTTCTGGGTCAAGTGGAGGCGTGGCAGGGTTAGGCTTGTGGCTAATCAGAGGGGGTACTTTGGCGAGGAGGCAGGCTTCGATGTCGGATTGGTGGTGGGCGTTTGATTTTTTTATTATTATTTTTTTCCGTTATCGTAAATTTTTATATATATATTCAACTGTGATATCATATCATATACATGGTAGTAAGTAGTAGTAGGATGGGAAGGAGGGATATTAATGACTGCAACGACCTGTTTTTTTTTCTTTTTCTTTTCATCTTTCTTTTTTGTTTGTTCACTTGTATCATGCACGCACATCCTGGGTTCTCATAGTTCCGGAGTACGGTGAAATAAATCAATAAATAAATCAATGGATTATATCTATCTGTTATACTGCGCTGTATGTACAGTGCTTGAGTTTGAGTGAGTGAGTGAGTGAATGATAGCTATCGGTTCTTTAGGTATGATACTACGTCTACTACTGTACCTATCCCAGTCGCTCAATCAATCGATCAATCAATCAATCAATCAACCAATCAACCAATCAAGCAATCACGGGAGGTTGGCAAGCAGCCATGAAATTACCCAAAACACGAAATACCAACGTCACGCTAAGGATAGAGAGAGTCAACAAGCAATCTCGGATTCAAGATATGTCGTCGATATTCCCACATAATCGTGCATGATGATAGACTAATCGAATCAAGTCCCACGCCAGACCATCGAATTCATCGCCGAGTGATACACCATGCGACCGACAACCGACGAGCCAGTTTTGTTGAATTCAACAAATGAGTGAATGGATAGATAACATAAGGAAGAATGAAGAATGAAGAATAATAGCAGAATAATCCCTCGGTCGATAACAATGTGCCATTTACTCCAGCGTGGTGTCGAGCCTCTTTTTCTCCTCATCGTCGTCTTCCAATTCGTCTCCCGCATCGGCCGGGTCCTCCCTTACCTCCAGTTCCATGCCTACCGGTACTTCTACCACTATTTCGCCTCTTCCTCCCCCCCCGCCTCCTACTGCTGCTGCTGCTGCTGCTGGGGGCTTTTTCGTCTTTGGGGGCTTTCCAATTCTCTTTGCTCTGGGTCTAACTGGTGCTGGCACTGGTACCGCTGCTGCTGCTGGTGCTGGTGATTGGGTATTCTCAGTGGCGGGAGAGTCCTCGCCGGTATCGTCCGTTACTCTTCTCTTCCTGTTCGATTGGGGATTGTGCGTTCTCGAGTGGGGAGGAGGGGGAGCGGTGGGTGAGCACTTTTTGCCCTTCTCCAAAAGCGCGCGGAAGCCCATTTCGACGCACTGCCATGCGTTAATTCACACAACCACTGGCAAGACTCGGCTTTGGGAAAGGATGAGAGAATAACCTTTTTCTCCACCTGCTGCCACTCCAAGCCCAGATTACCCGCCAAGCTCTTGAAGAATGCAACCTTGGCGTTGGCAAACTCCATCGCGAGGTCCTTCTCGCGCTCTGCGTTCCATTCCAACTGCGCATTCGTGACGAGCCTGGCGTGGCGCTTCCGACACGCGTTGCTGGTCTTGCCCGGGAAGAGGGGGCTGATTTCTACCCATTTCTTGCCCGAGGTCTTGGAGGTTAGCAGGAGCTCGTCGTCCGTTGTCGACCAGGCCGCAGTGGGTGGGGCCGCGGTCGGCGGGGCCGTGTGGAGGGCTCGCATGTAGGGTTTTGATGGAAAGTGCTTGGGGGAGGCCTTTTTTGACTTTGATTTTGGCATTTGGTGGTTGGGTGGTCTTGAAATGGGGGGGGTGGGGGTGGGTTCTGGCCCATTGGGGCGGCCTTTGGTTTATATGGGGCGGGGAGTTGACTTCAGCCATACATCGTGGGCTTCTGGACAGGGGAGGGGCGCAGAGGAGGGACTCGCTTGTCGGTTCGAGCAAACCACGGGTGTGCGCAGGAAGTAGTAGTGGATAAATGGATTGGGGGGATTAGAGTAGCGCAGTAGGTGTGTTTCCAGGTTTGATGGTACGTATGATCGATGATACCTGTTCCGTTGGCTATAGAGTATACAAACATTAGTACGAGAACATTTAACAGCGATATCAGGCCGCGATTGTGATGCTGTTCCTCAGAAAAATGCAACCTGAGCGGTGTCACATATAAGGCTTGAAGCTCCTGATATACCCCCCCTTCCACAGTGACACTTACTCGCCTAAGTGCGGTATGTTCATCATGGTCACAAAAAGGCCCAATTTCCCCACCATAGCATTCAGCCCTCCCGGAACTGCCCCACCCCCCGAATTAGCAAACATGGATCAACCCCCATCCGGCCTCAAACACCTACTGGTATCCGGTCTCAAACAACTTCTCCGACATGCTTTTCCGGCCGCCTCAATCACATCACACCTCAAAAACGGCTTCACACATGATGTCTGGGCCCCAATCCCACATGCAGCACGGCGAACTACCCGAGGCCATGAAAATTTTGTAAGATATCATATACCGTATTGCTCGCTTTTGTATTGGGACGGAGTGATCAATTATGAAGTGTGGGGCATTAGTGTAAGGGTTGAATTATCCGCAGCGGAGAGTAGGTGATGTATTCGTGAGGTAGGATGGAGGGAGAACTATGTTTGGATTAACAAAAGAATAAAAGAAGGAATGGCTATTTGGGGTGCAGACTCGGGGGTTGATTGCGAGAAAAGACATTGGCCGGTGTGCTTGTATATTCGACCATGACATTGGGAGGATGACGACTCTATCAATATCAAGGTGCATGGAGAATCATAATCTACTTTCTCATGGTCGGTGCGGTAATTCCGATGCCGACTTTCAACGGGATGGGCGTAAGTTTGGTTGATGGAAAGAATGGGGTCGGCATTGTTTGCCTTGGGACATACCGGTATCAATAGTCCGTGTGAAATTTTTTTTTTCCAGTGCGGAACTTGCCATCCTCATTTCAATCCTCTGTTTGGCATTGGAGATGGGGGCCAGATATTTGCGATGGGAAGGTGCCGTGTACTCGAGTACGAATTGCACAATGCATACCGGTAAGTGCAATTCTGGCGGAGAATGTTAGCACCAGCCAAGGGATTGTGATCAACCCGGATGAGGTGGACATGTCACCATTTATTGATATAATAACAGGGGTAGTCATCGTCCTATTTGAAATATGACAATCCACGAATAGGATCTTCAGTGGGGACCTATCGTATCACAATTTTTGGAAACAAGTATGGGTGGAGAGACCTGCGAATATTCATCACATGAACCTTTTTCTCCTCCCCAAAATCCTCTCCCCCCACTACAGATAAGCCTTGCATCCTTGCATCCACCGCTTATTTCTCCCTCTTTTTTCCACGAATATTCTTCCTCCGCTGCTTAATCATATGAGCGTATTGATTATACAATCCTGACTTCATCGTTAACCCGTTGCCCACTCCAATCTTTTCAATTCCATGAGGGGGGGGGTTTTACCGGGAGGATACGTAACCAAAATTCCCACAAAGGCCCAGTACAAAATCTCATTGTAAGACCTTGCCTCGTTGAGAGCTCGGTAGATGCAAAGTGCCTCACTCCCAGCGCCCATAGGATATAGGAGGTAGAAAGTGTTATACCTCAACCAGGTCAAGAATGCCGGTGTTCGGCCAACGATGCTGGTCACATAGTAGCTGTAGCGGCAGGTCTCAGTGATCCCCCAGGCAAGGAGCATGGTTGAGTAAAAGAACGAATTTTTGGGCTCCTCGAAGGGGTAGCAGACACCCCATACTAGGAGGATTCGAGAGGTGACTTGCAGGAAGGTGGTTGAGAAGGAGCTTTGTAGCAGACCTGTATATCGGTGATCGAGTTAGTTATGCATGGAGTCCTGGCAGAATTGGAGGATGGGGGATTACCGAGAAGAATGTGGAAAACTTCCAAGATCGCCAAAGTCTGCGTCCATTTTGTGTAGTTTCCTACACCCGCGTAGACGTTTTCATGCCCGACGAGCGGGAGCAGGAGAATTGTGCGGCCAGCAACACCAAACCAGAGCACAACGGAGACGGCATTGTAGGCGATTAGACTAATTCGATTGTTAACGATAGCTCTCTTACCCAACATGTGGGAATAGATGGGGAAGAATTACTATTGATCCTTGAAAGGTCGGCGGGCTTTAGAACGCTCCATATCTGTTTGTTGTGGAAGGTGGTGATGGTGGAGAGATTGTATCTTTGCGGTGGGAAATTGCAAGACAAAATTGTTGGGGTCAGGACTCAACGGAGAGGACCCTGCAGGACCCTGCAGGGTGTTGAGCTGGGACATGGATTATTGATTTCCCGCAACCTTTGCACGCGCCCCGAAGAACCTGGTAATGGGGGAACCTTACTCGAGTAGTCTTACCAATACATTACCGGTGTTCGCACTATTTTATCAGGAGAGGGTCAGCTCCTCCGGATTAATAACTTCTATCTTGGGACGTGGGTTGTAGATTGCTAGAGGGGGATTTTTTTCGTGGTGTAAAAATTTCCCTGGAGTTGGAGCTGTGGTATCATAAATCTGTACATGATCGCTCGGTTAAATGAGGGCGTGGGTTTTGCTGGCCTTTCCGGGTGTTCCTCTCTGCTCGTGGGATATTTGGCGCCATTCTAGCGTACGGATACCGGTATCCCAAGAAGGACCGTTGGCTAGAGATGTCTACTACGGTAGTACACGGTGGTCCGGCGCAGAGGGATTGGGGAAATAGAGCCTTGGCAAGCCTCAAGAAAAAAGAGTAATTTGGTAATTGTTTTTATCGCATTGGAAATGGGCTTTCTATAGGGGCTATACATTCTCAATCAAGTTCATATCTAATAAGTCTAGTAGTCTACATAATTACTTAAATATAAGTTTAAGTACTGATAGAAGTATAATATAGAATACTATTTGTAATAGTTAGAATACATCTATCAATACCACCTATAAGTATTTGCTTATAAATTATGATGGTAACCTTTAAAAAAGCATGATTTATAAGATGGTAAAAATCTTTAATACCACACAACCTTGGCATCAAAATATCTACAATACTACAATACCTAGGACTAGTTTGGTCTCTAATTTTTACACTCCCTCCTACAACTATTTATATGAGTACACACTCTTCTAAATATAGGTCGCCCATCTATGGGCAGTTTGAAACCTTGCAGACATAGAGTTCTCATGTTGAATCTTACTTGAAAACTTGGTAGCTAAACTTTTCACTGACAGGCCAGTCACACAAAACCCCTGCAACTCCACTGAGGGAAGAGAAATATTACTCTAAGGATGGAGCTAGATGGAGATCAGATAAGGCCGCTACCATAGGATTAGGGGAGAAAAATATGCACAAAAACTCAGGATGGAAAGAAAGTAATAAGTTGTGCCATGGTGAAAATTTTTCATTTATAATACTAGTACTAGTCTAACATTCTATAGTATTATAGATATTTTCATACTGAGGTTGTAGTATTGTACAGTCCCTAGTCAGAAGTGTTCGTGAAAGGCTGACTAAGTGTCTTGCTAAATGCCAGATTACCAAGTTGATCACGACTGAGTTGATTGTGGCCATACCTAATTCCTACACAACAGCCTAGATACTGTCCTCTTTTTTCAATAGTTAACTGCTCTAGATATTCCACTAGCAATTTTGCCTCAAAAAAAAAAGTATACCTCTAAGACCTCTCAAAGAGAAATGACCAATATTGAAAAAGGTATGATAATTGCCTTTTTCTACTGTTTCTGGAACATTACCCTAGTTGTTCAAGCTATGGGATGGCTATGGACAACTATTAAAAGCTTCCTTGCTTAAGCATATGAGCGTCAATTATGTTACACATAGAAGCGTAATCGGTGTAGCACGTGACTAAATGCATAAGGTCACGTGTTCGACTCCGGGCCCTGCCACAGTATTCGTAGCGCTAAGATATTAGCGCATGATATGATAAGACATCTATACAGCCCGCTCCGCGGAGATACGAGGCATGCGACCGAGGAGTTTTCGCTGGATAACATAGAAGGAGCTCCGCTCTATAAGATAAGACTTAGATGGTTCAGATTGGTAGGTTAGTTATGGAGCTATGACCTCTGCAAGTCTATATGCAATTACGAGAAGTAATATGCATGTCCCTATAGCTCGCATAAGCTAGAGTCATCCGGAAGACCTAGTTACGATTAGTTATTAACTACTCACTGGTCGAGTTAGTTATCTTCGTCATGCACTCTAAGCTATGCACATAGAAGAGTCATTGATAAGTCCATTGATGGAGCTGATCACTCCACTCAGGAAGAGAGCAGGGAAGTTAGTTTTCAGGGTCAAATGGAGTTCGCACTCCTAAGACACTGAAGTGTTAGTATGGCAGGTACATAGTCAGTAAGGGATTGTATGTAGGCCGCGACCACCCAGATGTGGAATATAAATATCGAGGTGCCTCCTGAGCTTTTTAAGCATTCCCCGTCTCTGCTACACCTCCGGTGATTGAAAACTCAACACCACGGTTTTTATCGTGAGTCTTTTGTTTCGTCGCGAAACTTTCTCCACCCTCCCGCCCACTCCTGCCTTTGGCCTCGGCCTAGGGGAGTCTGGCTCCTCTCTCCTCTCATGCCCGGGGTATTGACTTCGGTCTACCGTCGCAGGGCCCTCTCTCTCCCTGAGGGTTAGTCGGTCGGAGGCCCTCCTCGGCTGGCTAGCAGGTGGTGGGATCCCTTCCACTACAGTGACGCTATCTCTTCCAGAACAAGGGACTACATGAGAGACGCGGTAAAACACCTGCTATGCTTTGCCCAGGCGGCCGTTGATGATCTTCCTTACTCCCCCTTCCTCCTCCCCCCACCCGTGGTGGGGAGTTCTCTCCTCCTCTTGAGTTGGCCTCGCTTAGCCTTCTCACGGTCGGCAACCCCTTAACCACCATCGTCAGACGGCTGGGACTACAGTTGCAGTAGGGGAGAACAGCCAATAGGCTACGGTCGATCTCCCCATTCTCTTGTTCCCCTAAGAGGCTGCCTAGTCAGACACGAACGCGACACCGATAGACGATGTTCAAGGTCTTTGGGTCTACCCCTCCGCTCTCCTCTCCCTACGGTCGGATCGGCTGGCACCCTACTGCTACACCTTCCCCTCCCCCCGGTTATTGCCCACGGCCGGATGGTCTCCTCCTTCCCTCCATGGTATTGCACTGTCTCCTTGGAGTGGGTCTGGGGGGGGCCCCCTATCTTAGCGCGCTTTGTGCGTCGCTTCCCGCTTGAATGAGTGGACTCGCCCTTCGGGGCCTATGTGGCTTGCTACTAACCTTTCTTTTGTATTTTTGGGATTTCTCAGCGGGTTTTCCTGGCCCTTCCTGCTTTCTTCTTAATTAGGATTTCCTTGTTCGTCCATCTAGCCGGGCTTAGGTTTCTTTTCTTTGAGGCGAGATGTGCGGTTGGCTCCATACCAGAGGGGCTTGGGGGGTTGGCTTTTTCCTGTGGCGAGAGGAGGGATATGGGTTTTTTGTCGTCATAGCTAGCGCTCCATACATTTTTTGTACCCTAAACAAATAATCAATGAGTCAAACAAAAAAAAAAAAAAAATACCCGAGCTTTTTAAGTCTATCATCAGCGACCGGAGAAGAGATCTTATCAATATATTCGTTCTACTTTACTTCTATCTTTATGAGCCTTTTTGACTATCTCCGAGACAGAAGATTACAGGGCCTAGTGTATACTCGCTTGACTTTAGAGTTACCTACCCCCTAACAAATTACTAGATAATGTTCCTTACCCTGGTCACCTACCAGTTCTCAGCCAGTGACAGTGTCGGACAATAATTCGGGCAGCTAAGTTCAACTGAAAAATAATCAGATCTGAGTTCCGGGAGATAAATATGCACTGGGCATTTCAATTTTCACAGGTAACAGAAAAAACCCAGCATTCTTGTACTATACTGAGTGATAAGTTATAATTTTCTAACAAATTTATAGTAGACAGAGTACTCAGAGAAGCCAATATTAAGAAATGGCTAGCTAAATCAAGGTCCAGACTCAAACCCAATCACATTGCTAAGAGATTGAAGTGGGCTACAGCTTACAGGAATAGAACAGTTGAGGATTTTGAAAAAGTCATCTGGAGTAATGAGTATAGTGTAGAGAAATTCAAGGATCCAAGTCAACACTGAGTTTTCAGAGAACCTAGGGAGAAGTGACTGGCAGATTGTATTCAATTAAAGGAGAAGGATAAGGGAATTTTGCTTATGGTTTGGGGGTGCTTTTGGGGTAAGAGAAAAGGTCCTTTGGTTCCTATTACTCAGAATATTAACAAGAGCAGGTATATTAGGCTCTTGAGAAGATATCTTTTTCCTGTTATCAATCAGATAATTTCTCTTGGTATGCAAGATTTCCTATTTCAACAAGACAATACTCCTGTTCATAAGGCATATAATATCTTGGATTGGTTGGAGAGAAATTCTATTGAAGTGGTGGATCACCGCCCTTACTTTCCTGATTTAAATCCTATTGAGCATGTATGGGTTGAGCTTAAAAAGTGATTGCACCAGCAGTACCCAAGGATTGCAGATACCCCAGGAGGAAAAGAAGCTGTTAGGAAGAGACTTGCACAGGTGTTACCTTTAGTTTAGGAGACAATTCCTGAGGAGTTTTTTAAAAAGTTGTGGAAATCAATGCCTGATAGAGTAGCTGCAGTTTTAGAGGTAAGGGAGGCTATACAAGGTATTAGCTTGTATTCTTAACTTTCATTTCTTTCTTTATTATTTAATTTCATTATTAAGGGGTGATCATAGACAATTTATCATCGGTAGGCAATCATGTACTTGTTGCCATCATATACTCATTGCTACTATGCACTCTTATAATTCCCCTACCCCACCATATGGTGCAACAAATACAATTAAACATGTCTCGGATCACAAACACTTCTGACTAGGGGCTGTAGATGTTTTCATCTTGGAGTTGTGGCATTGAAGACTTTTACTGTTTATAAGAATGTAAAATAGAGTTGAGTTCTTATTTATCTCTCTTATATATATATATTTCTATTTATTTATTTTTTCAATTAGGAACTGATATGAATAAAGTATAATTAAATTCTGAAAATATACTAAAGAGTTAAATTATAATAAAGTTTATAGATAAATATTGATTTTAGGTTCTGTTCCTCAATTATAGTTTTAAGTATTATAACTTTGAATTTTAAAGAACTCTATCTAATCTAGTATAGAAATTTGAGAACTTTATTAGTATAAATATACTTCCTCTACCTCTTTGTAGAGTAATTCTAATAGTATCTAATAAACTCCTTGTATTTCTATCTATATTTAT